GCACATATATAATAATTATACACGAATACATAAAATTATCTCCCTTTACAAATATATACAAAGAAAACAAATTTGGATACATTATATATACAAAATTGTATATTTTTGTATGTGTCATATATACAAACTTGTATATTTTTGTATATATCATCATTCCAATCTTGTGTATGCTTTGGAAATATCATCATTCCAAAGCATATACAAGCTTGTATAGATGGATTTTTTTGCAGTGTAAGTTTAATTTTTCTCTCTCAGATTTGACTAAATGTATCTAGGAAAATCTAATCAAATCACAGTTATTTTCCTCAGTTTATTTGCCAATGAATTTATTAGCAGGTAGCAGTCTCACAACTATGAACATTATGTTAAGTTCTTCAATGTGGTCAGCTAAATGTTGAAGTGATTCCAGGTTAATGTGTTTCATTGGAAATAGAAATATTGCCACATTCAAGCATCAGACACATTTGAGGAATGAGGCTGATTCTGATTTGGCATGCAGTGTGAATCTTTTATGACTGAAATAATTGCATTCTTGCACTTTTCTTGAGGTGTTTGGCTACTGATAAAGAATGTGTAGAAAGGAAATTTATAATTATGGGACTTGCAAACCTGTTACAATCTAACTGTATATAACTCCCGAGTTGTTAGTGCAGCCAACATGCAAAGTGAGTATGTTTGAAAAACATTAGGACATAAATATCAGCTGCAACATACTGTATTTTCTTGATAATAGGGCGCAGCCAAGCATAATACGCTTCCTCCGTGAAGTTTTTGGAAAATTTTTTTTTTCAAGTATTATGTGCAGTATAAAAACTACATTGCATCCTGTCAGGTAAATTCAACATGCAGTATTAGATCAGATAGACTGGCACAAGTTGTCTCAATAGTGTATAAAATAACATTTACATGGCAACTTAGCAATGACAAAAAACAGAAATGAAAAAAAAGAACATGAAGCCAGTGTACCTGTTGTTCAATGTTACACATGCCCGGCCAACGATGCCCTTCTACAGCAATGCAATATGTAACACATTAGGAGTCCCATCTTAAAAAGGGTGCACCCATTGCAAACTCACAGTTTGGAAAATAATAATCCAATGAAAAATGGAACTATTCTGAAGGTTATGCAAAACAGTGTTCATTAAGGGAGATGGGGGCATGGGAGGTACCTCACTCCTAAGCTCCTCACATTGGACATTAATGTGTGAAGTTAACATTGGTGTGTAGATCACGTCCCAGCTCTATCTAACATGGTGGCCTCCGGGGAAGTGTAAATTGTGATGTTTTCCATGTAATAATTCTTATGCTTGTTAACATACAAATGTACCAAGTGATTTAATCATTATTTTAGTGTGGTTGTTTGTCATGCACTTCATGTTAATTTTCACTAGAATGTCCCTTTAAGTATAGTGTTATATAATGTCACAAACATTCAACAGTAAAGCCGTCAATTCTTGTCTGATTATAGTGCTACGTAACGTTGCAAACATTCAACAGTAAAGCAGTCAATTCTTGTCTGATTATAGTGCTACGTAAAATTGCAAACATTCAACAGTAAAGCAGTCAATTCTTGTCTGATTATAGTGCTACGTAATGTTGCAAACATTCAACAGTAAAGCAGCAATTCTTATCTGATGATAGTGCTACGTAATGTTGCAAACATTCAACAGTAAAGCCTTCAATTCTTATCTGATTATAGTGCTACGTCATGTTGCAAACATTCAACAGTAAAGCAGTCAATTCTTGTCTGATTATAGTGCTACGTAATGTTGCAAACTTTCAACAGTAAAGCTGTCAATTCTCGTCTGATTATAGTGCTACGTAATGTTGCAAACATTCAACAGTAAAGCAGTCAATTCTTATCTGATTATAGTGCCACGTAATGTTGCAAACATTCAACAGTAAAGCTGTCAATTCTTGTCTGATTATAGTGCTACGTAATGTTGCAAACATTCAACAGTAAAGCAGTCAATTCTTATCTGATTATAGTGCCACGTAATGTTGCAAACATTCAACAGTAAAGCTGTCAATTCTTGTCTGATTATAGTGCTACGTAATGTTGCAAACATTCAACAGTAAAGCAGTAAATTCTTGTCTGATTATAGTGCTACGTAATGTTGCAAACATTCAACAGTAAAGCAGTCAATTCTTGTCTGATTATGGTGCTACGTAATGTTGCAAACATTCAACAGTAAAGCAGTCAATTCTTATCTGATTATAGTGCTACGTAATGTTGCAAACATTCAACAGTAAAGCAGTCCATTCTTGTCTGATTATAGTGCTACGTAATGTTGCAAACATTCAACAGTAAAGCAGTCAATTCTTATCTGATGATAGTGCTACGTAATGTTGCAATTAAGCTAAGCATACACTTAAATATGGCAATGAACAGACAAAATGGAGCATTGTGAGTATGATAGAGGGGAGTGGGGATGTCCGTATCTCAAGTTGTCGGACTGGTGGTCGTAGAAGGTACTCTTAGTTGATAAGTGGCAAACTATTAGATCTAATTTTGATGTTAAACGGAAATGAATATTTGTCCATTATCGAAAATCTTTAAGGCAGTGCAATTGTTGATAAGTCATACAAAGACATTTGGCTAACACTTTAATGTAAATATACTAATCTCTCTTTTGTACATTTCTTTTATATCTATGCACTCATCTTCTTTTCTGTTTTCCTTGTATATGATTTACTGTACAAGCTTTCGTATATACCATGGAGAGGGAGTCCTAAGTTGGATAACTTGTTCCCAATCCATTTTAATCTGAATAAAATATTTTTTACCCTGATCACTTGACCGATTATCAGTTTTGCTCACATCCAACTAGTGCTCATACAAGGATATATTAACGATTCCTATCGGCAGATCAGGACAAGACACAGATGTGTCAGAATGCCATCTTCCTGATTCAAAGGTTGTCTCATCTTGGCTTTCTGGTTCAGCCAACCAAGTCTGAGCTGAAGCCTAAAACTGATACAGAATATATATATCAGAGCCAGATTTCCACTGGACAGAGGCATCATTTTTCCACCAGTAGATTGTTGTATCAAAATGTTCAACACGAATACTGATGTTGCAGATCCAACTGTAACCTTCCATTCAATGGTGGGTGTCCTTATTAGGGAATCTGACGTCTCTGCAAGGGGGAGACTTCGCCTTCACTCCAAACAGACCTTGAGATATTCAGTCAGTAAACATCCCTCCTACGCTTTTTGATCCAATGAGTTAGTGGACATGCCGGGAGTATGTTCTGACTGGCATTTCAATTGTATACACTGACAGTGTGATTTGAAAGATGGAGGACATGGACTGCATGACCATTCCCATAGCACCAGTTTGGCGAACTCTAAATTGGTTTCCCACTATCTTACCATTAGTCATGGAGGAACCAATCCCACTACCAGAATGTTAAGATCTCCTTCTACAACCTAAAACAGACATAATATACTGTAACCTACACGCTCTCGATATTCATCATCTGCTCGGTTACTACCTGCAGCAACAGCCTTGGAAGATTGGTGAATGTGTTTGTACCATACAGTGTATGAGATGTAGGCCAGGTCACAGGTTAATCACAGGTAATCACACTCAGAAGTCACGGGAATGATGTCAAGACCAATGGAAGTGAAGTCACAAACAGAAGTGACATCATCAGCCCCGGAAGTGACTTCATGTGACAATGGATGCCTAGTTTTGGTCTTGAAATCAACCAGAAGAGCACCATTAAGCACCCCAAATATACTGGATTTAGAAGGAAATATGATGGATAGAAATCATGGAATCGTCTGAAAATTTCCTCTTTTGAAATCCAATAGTCTTATTTACCCTAGATGTCGAAACCCACCAATCCCATGTGTATATTCTGGCAATGATGTAATAGAGGTTGGGTATTTGCAATAATTACCAGACAATAGTTATTGTTGATAATTCAAAGAATACTACATCTATTACATCAGGAGTAATTCTACACAGCTCCCAAATAATCTGCTTCTAGTTGTAGATGTTGGAAATAAGTGAGGTTTTCCTGCCTGGTGCATGCACACGATGCTTGGGAAGGGAGATACTCTTAGTGGCACAACAAATCATGGATAGTTAATGTTTTAATTAGTCACAATGATAACTACTGTTTGATAACCCTGATTATATACTGGCAGAAAAAACAATTCCTGTGCATCACTGACTATCATGGGAAATAATGAATAAACGCAAACAAAGAACTGTTTTGAAATAGAACAATATGTAGAGGTCCATGAAACATGAATTCATGACGGTGTCAACACATGTATTCTGTTGTCTCAGGCTGAAAATAGCATGGGTTCAATTGTCGCTGGCAAGTCAGTATCGGGTATGACACAATTAACAGTGACACAAGCTTGACAATGGCACCTCAATGATGACACAAGATGTGATGTCCATGGGTCTGAAGGAACGTGAGGACTTATAATTGGATGTACAGCTGTACGTCATGGTCATTTGTTATGCTGTCATTCTTGCAGTCTGAAACTGGTTTTACAGGTGAACCAGACGGGCATGACAATCTTGCGGATGTGAAATTACTCGTGGACGGCGAGAACATGGTCTGTCCCTGGTGTTGCCAATCTGTTGGTACTGAACCAGAGTGACTGTATCATCTGTATGGTGTTATTATGAACTAAAAAAAGCCTGGTAAATTCAAACATTACTTTTATACGCAACCGTTTATTTTCAGATAGATGTGGCAAAACGATTGCATGTCAACGAAAAGTGTGACAGATGTCTTACTCATGGTATTTTATACATACAGTTCAGGGTCATCATGAATAATCATGACAAAGTGTCTGTACCTGGTACATGTAATTATGCATGATTCTGAAAAATCTGTGGCAATATTATTTTAATGGGATTTTTTATGGTGTACAGGAATTATTTTTCTGCTAAAATATTAACTGTTATCATTAATAATATTTTGAAGTCTTTCTCTGAGGCTTATCTTTCTAAATGGAGTATTACATTTCAGATATGTCTTGATGAAGCACAGATGGTCGAGTGCACAACAACTAAGGTAGGAGTTTGTAATGTCGGTGTAGGAGTCAGTGATGTGTCTCAGTGTAAAAGTCAGTGATGAGTGTCAGTGTAACAGTCAGTGATGTGTGTTACTGTAGAAGTCAGTGATGTGTGTCAGTGTAGAAGTCAGCATTGTGTGTTAGTGTATACGTCAATGATGTGTCTCAGTGTATCAGTCAGCGTTGTGTGTTAGTGTATAAGTCAGCATTGTGTGTCAGTGTAAAAGTCAGTGATGTGTGTTACTGTAGAAGTCAGCGTTGTGTCTCAGTGTAGGAGTCAGTGTTGTGTGTTAGTGTATAAGTCATTGATGTGTCTCAGTGTAGGAGTCAGCATTGTGTGTCAGTGTAGAAGTCAGTGTTGTGTGTTAGAGTATAAGTCAGCATTGTGTGTTTGTGTATAAGTCAGTGATGTGTCTCAGTGTAGAAGTCAGTGTAGAAGTCAGTGATGTGTGTCAGTGTAGGAGTCAGCGTTGTGTGTTTGTGTAGAAGTCAGCGTTGTGTGTTTGTGTATAAGTCAGCATTGTGTGTTTGTGTATAAGTCAGTGATGTGTGTTAGTGTATAAGTCAGCGTTGTGTGTTTGTGTATAAGTCAGCGTTGTGTGTTAGAGTATAAGTCAGCGTTGTGTATTAGTGTATTAGTCAGCGTTGTGTCTCAGTGTAGGAGTCAGCGTTGTGTGTTAGTGTAGGAGTCAGCGTTGTGTGTTTGTGTATAAGTCAGCGTTGTGTGTCAGTGTAGGAGTCAGCATTGTGTGTCAGTGTAGGAGTCAGCGTTGTGTGTCAGTGTAGGAGTCAGCGTTGTGTGTCAGTGTAGGAGTCAGCATTGTGTCTCAGTGTAGGAGTCAGCGTTGTGTGTCAGTATAAGAGTCAGCGTTGTGTGTTTGTGTATAAGTCAGCGTTGTGTGTTTGTGTATAAGTCAGCATTGTGTGTTTGTGTATAAGTCAGTGAGGTGTGTTAGTGTATAAGTCATCATTGTGTGTTTGTGTATAAGTCAGCGTTGTGTGTTAGAGTATAAGTCAGCGTTGTTTATGAGTGTATTAGTCAGCGTTGTGTGTCAGTGTAGGAGTCAGCGTTGTGTGTTAGTGTATAAGTCAGCATTGTGTGTCAGTGTAGAAGTCTGTGATGTGTGTCAGTGTTGGAGTCAGCGTTGTGTATTAGTGTATTAGTCAGTGATGTGTGTCAGTGTAGGAGTCAGCGTTGTGTATTAGTGTATTAGTCAGCGTTGTGTCTCAGTGTAGGAGTCAGCTTTGTGTATTAGTGTATTAGTCAGTGATGTGTGTCAGTGTAGGAGTCAGCGTTGTGTCTCAGGGTAGGAATCAGCGTTGTGTGTCAGTGTAGGAGTCAGCGTTGTGTGTCAGTGTAGGAGTCAGCATTGTGTCTCAGTGTAGGAATCAGCGTTGTGTGTCAGTGTAGGAGTCAGTGTTGTGTGTTTGTGTATAAGTCAGCATTGTGTGTTTGTGTATAAGCCAGCATTGTGTGTTTGTGTATAAGTCAGTGATGTGTGTCAGTGTAGGAGTCAGCGTTGTGTGGAAGTGTAGGAGTCAGCGTTGTGTGTTAGTGTATAAGTCAGCGTTGTGTGTTTGTGTATAAGTCAGCATTGTGTGTTTGTGTATAAGTCAGCATTGTGTGTTTGTGTATAAGTCAGCGTTGTGTGTCAGTGTAGGAGTCAGCATTGTGTCTCAGGGTAGGAATCAGCGTTGTGTGTCAGTGTAGGAGTCAGCGTTGTGTGTTTGTGTATAAGTCAGCATTGTGTGTTTGTGTATAAGTCAGCATTGTGTGTTTGTGTATAAGTCAGTGATGTGTGTCAGTGTAGGAGTCAGCGTTGTGTGGAAGTGTAGGAGTCAGCGTTGTGTGTTAGTGTATAAGTCAGCGTTGTGTGTTTGTGTATAAGTCAGCGTTGTGTGTTAGTGTAGGAGTCAGCATTGTGTGTTAGTGTAGGAGTCAGCGTTGTGTGTCAGTGTAGGAGTCAGTGATGTGTCTCAGTGTAGGAGTCAGCGTTGTGTGTTTGTGTATAAGTCAGTGATGTGTGTCAGTGTAGGAGTCAGCGTTGTGTGTCAGTGTAGGAGTCAGCATTGTGTGTCAGTGTAGGAGTCAGCATTTTGTGTTTGTGTATAAGTCAGTGATGTGTGTCAGTGTAGAAGTCAGTGTAGAAGTCAGTGATGTGTCTCAGTGTAGAAGTCAGCATTGTGTCTCAGTGTAGGAGTCAGCGTTGTGTCTCAGTGTAGGAGTCAGCGTTGTTTGTCAGTGTAGGAGTCAGCGTTGTGTGTCAGTGTAGAAGTCAGCATTGTGTGTTTGTGTATAAGTCAGTGAATTGTGTTTGTGTATAAGTCAGCATTGTATGTTTGTGTAGAAGTCAGCGTTGTGTGTCAGTGTAGGAGTCAGCGTTGTGTGTTAGTGTATAAGTCAGCATTGTGTGTCAGTGTAGAAGTCAGCGATGTGTGTTTGTGTATAAGTCAGCGTTGTGTGTTTGTGTATAAGTCAGCGTTGTGTATTAGTGTATTAGTCAGCGTTGTGTCTCAGTGTAGGAGTCTGTGATGTGTGTCAGTGTAGGAGTCAGCATTGTGTGTTTGTGTATAAGTCAGCAGTGTGTGTTTGTGTATAAGTCAGTGATGTGTGTTTGTGTATAAGTCAGCATTGTGTGTTTGTGTATAAGTCAGTGATGTGTGTCAGTGTAGGAGTCAGCGTTGTGTGTCAGTGTAGGAGTCTGTGATGTGTGTCAGTGTAATGTTGCACCAGGCAGGGATGTTGTGTGTCAGTGTTGTGTAGTGGTGCTCTAGCTAGAGTTGTATTGTGTCAGTGTAGTGTAGTGGTTCACTAGGTGGGGATGTGGTGTGTCAGTGTAGTGTAGTGGTTCACTAGGTGGGGATGTGGTGTGTCAGTGTAGTGAAGTGGTTCACTTGGTGGGGATGTGGTGTGTCAGTGTAGTGAAGTGGTTCACTTGGTGGGGATGTGGTGTGTCAGTGTAGTGTAGTGGTTCACTTGGTGGGGATGTGGTGTGTCAGTGTAGTGGTGCACTAGGTGGGGATGTGGTGTGTCAGTGTAGTGTAGTGGTTCACTAGGTGGGGATGTGGTGTGTCAGTGTAGTGTAGTGGTTCACTTTGTGGGGATGTGGTGTGTCAGTATGGTGTAGTGGTGCACTAGGTAGGGATGTGGTGTGTCAGTGTAGTGGTGCACTAGGTGGGGATGTGGTGTGTCAGTGTAGTTGTGCACTAGGTGGGGATGTGGTGTGTAAGTGTAGTGGTGCACAAGGTTGGGAGGTGGTGTGTCATAGTAGTTGTGCACTAGGTGGGGATGTGGTGTGTCAGTGTAGTTGTGCTGTAGGTGGGGATGTGGTGTGTCAGTGTAGTGGTGCACTAGGTGGGGAGGTGATGTGTCAGTGTAGTTGTGCACCTTGTGGGGATGTGGTGTGTCAGTGTAGTTGTGCTCTAGGTAAGGATGTGGTGTGTCGGTATGGTTTAGTGGTGCACTAGGTGTGGATGTGGTGTGTCAGTGTAGTGGTGCACTAGGTGGGGATGTGGTGTGTCAGTGTAGTTGTGCACTAGGTGGGGATGTGGTGTGTCAGTATGGTGTAGTGGTGCAGTAGGTGGGGATGTGGGGTGTCAGTGTAGTGGTGCACTAGGTGGGGATGTGGTGTGTCAGTGTAGTGGTGCACTAGGTAGGGATGTGGTGTGTCAGTGTAGTGGTGCACTAGGTGGGGATGTGGTGTGTCAGTGTAGTTGTGCACTAGGTAGGGATGTGGTGTGTCAGTGTAGTGGTGCACTAGGTTTGGGAGGTGGTGTGTCAGTATGGTGTAGTTGTGCACTAGGTGTGGATGTGGTGTGTCAGTATGGTGTAGTGGTGCAGTAGGTGGGGATGTGGTGTGTCAGTGTAGTTGTGCACTAGTTGGGGATGTGGTGTGTCAGTGTAGTGGTGCACTAGGTGGGGAGGTGGTGTGTAAGTGTAGTGGTGCACAAGGTGGGGAGGTGGTGTGTCAGAGTAGTTGTGCACTAGGTGGGGAGGTGGTGTGTCAGTGTAGTTGTGCACTTGGTGGGGAGGTGGCATGTCAGTGTAGTTGTGCACTAGGTGGGGATGTGGTGTGTCAGTTTAGTTGTGCACTAGGTAGGGATGTGGTGTGTCAGTGTAGTTGTGCACTAGGTGGGGATGTGGTGTGTCACTGTAGTGTAGTTGTGCACTAGGTGGGGATGTGGTGTGTCAGTGTAATGGTGCACTAGGTTGGGATGTTGTGTGTCAGTGTAGTGGTGCACTAGGTGGGGAGGTGGTGTGTCAGTGTAGTTGTGCACTAGATGGGGAGGTGGTGTGTTACTGTAGTGGTGTTCTAGGCGGGGATGTGGTGTGTTACTGTAGTGGTGTTCTAGGTGGGGATGTGGTGTGTTACTGTAGTGGTGTTCTAGGTAGGGATGTGGTGTGTTACTGTAGTGGTGTTCTAGGTATGGATGTGGTGTGTTACTGTAGTGGTGTTCTAGGTGGGGATGTGGTGTGTTACTGTAGTGGTGTTCTAGGTAGGGATGTGGTGTGTTACTGTAGTAGTGTTCTAGGTGGGGATGTGGTGTGTTACTGTAGTGGTGTTCTAGGTTGGGATGTGGTGTGTTACTGTAGTGGTGTTATAGTTTGGGATGTGGTGTGTTACTGTAGTGGTGTTATAGGTAGGGATGTGGTGTGTTACTGTAGTGGTGTTCTAGGTGGGGATGTGGTGTGTCAGTGTAGTGGTGTTCTAGGTAGGGATGTGGTGTGTTACTGTAGTGGTGTTCTAGGTAGGGATGTGGTGTGTTACTGTAGTGGTGTTCTAGGTGGGGATGTGGTGTGTTACTGTAGTGGTGTTCTAGGTGGGGATGTGGTGTGTTACTGTAGTGGTGTTCTAGGTGGGGATGTGGTGTGTTACTTTAGTGGTGTTCTAGGTAGGGATGTGGTGTGTTACTGTAGTGGTGTTCTATGTGGTGTTTTTATAGTTGCTCATGATTTTGTGTGATAGTTATCAAAAGTATTACTGATAGAGGCCTCTAAAAGAAACCTATGTTTTCTTTTAATATACAGACTGCAGAAATGGCCTTACGTCTGAGTGGTGTTAATCGTTGGTGTGTCACTGGTACTCCAATACAGAAGAGTGTACAAGGTAAGCTTTCTTAAAAATGGCAACTTACCATCAGTGACATTTATATCTACTTGGTGGAATATGTCATTAATGTTCTAGGTAAATAACGACAGGTAACTACAGGTGTTCTAGTGTGAGTTGTATTATTTCAGATTTGTATGGCCTGCTGCTGTTTCTTGGTATGGACCCTTACTGGGTACAACTGTGGTGGAACAGGTTGCTGTACCAGCCATTCAGCTATGGCATCACTCAGCCCATGTATGACACCCTGTCACAGGCACTGTGGCGCACAGCCAAAAGAGATGTGTTAGATCAGGTTTGTTGCTTGTTGTACTGTCTGTCCTGTGCTGACCAACATATACATGTGAATAGTAACTGTGGTCATCAGACAGCCCACAGTAAGGGACACGATCTCACCCACATTAGTTTAATTTTGAGTGACACCCACATAGGATCATGGTCACATATTCATTATGAAACATGATTCAAAGCCTAGGAAATTTAGGTTTAAGGCACGAGAAATCAAAGCCTTGGTGGTCATCCATCAAAGTACTCTACATGCCCACCAATGCTTTGGATAGCAGAACAGCATATGTTTACAGTGCTATACCTGAAGATCAATTGTTTGACTCTCATAATATGGGTGTGTGATAAAAAATATGAACAATATATGGAAAACTGAAATATTTACAGCAGTGTAAAGATTGACATTGATTTACACACTAGTAATGAAGGTAGTTTATTGAGGGGATGTACGAGTGCGAGTGTGTGAGTTCCAGCCAAACAGTATCATTAACTGCACAGTACTATGTCTATAGACAACAGTGTGAGTGTTTCTTTTGGGTGAATGAGTGAATGTGAGTGAACCAGAAGGTGAGTGAGTGAACAAGTTAACATCTGGAGATGGAAGTGTGTCCAGGGCTGTCACCCAAATAAATGCTTCAATTCCTGTGATTATTCTATCTCTATTACATAATTTGGCTTGTTACACACACTCTAAAAAAGTTCACTTGCACAATAAATTGGTAGTTGTCACGATGAATATGATCTTCAGTGAATACGAAGTTTAGGATTGTTATTATACTGTGATCAATTGGAAGATTGATTTTTTTGGTCGTTATTTACTACACTTTGGTCATAAGATGGTCGGTATAGTGTTGGGATCAACATGGCGCTGGGGACCCTGACCCTGACCCGCAAGAAGGGGCACTTTATGTTTATGTTTATGTGGTTCCCCACAAGCTGAGTCGGAAGTGCAGATCAAAGAGGAGTACTTTGGAGATGAGGTGCTCTCAGTGCTTATCTCTATCTCAGGATGTATTCTTCAAAGTTGAAGAATCATGGAGGAAGGCAATGAAGAAGAAGACTTGGCTAAGTAGATTAACATTGCAGGCCGAGGTCTGAGCCCAGACATCTCCTGGTCAAGAGACCATGAGGTGGACAGGCAATATGTCCAAGGAATAAGCCTCAACTTCCCAGGAGAAGCAGCCTTCCTCATCACGGCACCGCCATTTTCCTTGCAAGCCATGTTTAACAGGAATTTCACACAAATTTCCGAGGAAGTTGAACTTGAAGAAGAGTTCAACTCAACCACCACAATGAAGATTTCATGGGATTGGAGGATGGTAAAAAAAGACATGTATCATGACCCATTGTTTCTCTGGGCTTGGCGTGGGTACTACATGGTGGTTGCAATAGACCAGCAAACGTGGGATCCCAGGATGAAAGAAATACAGTCATTAGCAAACAGCTCCCTTCTCTCCAGCATTGCTAAGAGACTCGCACTGGAGTTGCTAACCATCATGAAAACATGATGTCATGAAAATGTGTGAGAGATACACAAACACACCACTGTCCCCTTACATACATCCTACCCAGCCACAAGAAAGTTCCAGACAGTGCTCTTATAACATAAAACATTACAGAAATTACCATATGTTTCCATAACATACTATTACCGTCCGCAGTATATGGACCGGAAGTTTATTCACCACACTAGCATCTGAATATGGTAACCTCCTGATGACTGATCACTGTCCAAACACAATTCAATAAGCGTCTATCGAATCTCAACAAAAACAATGTAAAATTGTTACAATCATTGTTAAACAATAAAATCCACAGCCCTATAGCAATGGATATCGCTAGGAAGTGTCCACCCAACTAGGGCTGGGACGGGTAACTCGGGTACCCAGGTCGGATGGATCCTGAGTAGGACCCGGGTACCCACAGAACTACCCGGACCTGTGGCAAGTCACGTGACAAATATGTAGTAATAACAATAAAACAGACTGGTCCATGGCCATGGTAATAGTTGGTTACACTACCAAGTCGCTAATGTTCGCATTTCTTTCTGACTGTGCATGCATTCCTTTCATATGTTTGCATAAAGATAAAGATTCAGTCAAGTTTAGAATATGCACTATCAGATCGTTTCATTCTTGTATCTAAATAGTCTTGTCAGGTAGAACAATTCAGTCAGACATTTTGTACCAACACAATGTGTTCCCGATATGAACTCATACTATATGGAAAACATAAATATACGCTTACGGATTTATTGAATGTATTGCCCTGAAATTATACTCCACTAAATGCACTAATATATATATAAAACATTGGAACTTGTGGCTGCCTTGTGTCTACCTGGATGTAACAGCGATATGTACTCGTCTACTCGACAGTAGCTGAAATGACCAGTCATAGTGACCAATTACAGCCTTCCTTTCAACACAGTACCTTCCTTAAACACTTTTGATTGGATGATGACAAGTATGGTCGATGTTTTGACCTAGTTTTAAGGCAACGACGAAAGACCATGTATGACTTTCTTCAAGTTTCTTGTGTCATCACATTTTGGTGAATTGCCTAAACTTTCTCATTTATATCCAACATTATATTGTCATGTCTATGTACTTAAGATCGGAATGTGAAAATGTACTTCGAAGTCAGAGGCCTTGCATCTACGTGACAGTATGATGTCCAAATTCTTTAAGCAGCAAACAGAATTGTTTGTGTGTTAGTTCTTTTTCATGTGTTAGATTGATGTCGTTATAGAATAAATATCATCTCATTTTATTCACAGCACTTTTTTGAATAAACATTTTAATGAGGTAAGTATTACTAAGTAATGTCTCGACCCGGCTAGCATGCTAAGTAAACAACTTGAAATTACCAATACTATTTAACTTGTCTGCGGTTGTAATTGTGAAAGCAGGTGTGATGTTTTGCATTGTCGTATCTCAGCCTGAATAAAATAAACTATGTTTTAATTAATGGTAGTTTTCAAATACAACATACGCATTTTCATGTCATGGAAATCAAATTTTAATGCAAATTTTGGTTGATAAACAGAACTTTAAAATAAGCATCAAACCAGTAACATTTAAAAAGCAGGACTTGTCAGAGTCAATGATGAAACATGTTTTGCTACATTGTCGGCAGCTCCGGCAACTTCGGTTCCGGTCTTTCAGGTAAGAGGGAATGTAGCTGAATTTTTACACTTTGGGAGAGTATAGGAATTTGAGATCTGTTGTTCGCCGCTTGCTTTTCAGGTTTTTGTTAAGGAAAATGATCGCATCAGTGATGTCAGATTCTAGACTAGATCTCTGCTTGGTAGTGGTCAACCCAGCTGTGCTGAAGGCTCGCTCTGATGGCACACTGGTGGCAGGGATGCACAAATATCTTTGTGCCAACCTGGCGACATTTGGAAATCTGAAGCAGTTTTCGCGCCACCATTCTAGCGACGACTTCTGCTTGGCTTTTATAGGATGTGACAGGTAATTTGAAAATTCAATCTCCACTGTTTCATCGGCTGTATCATCTATTTCAATGATGTCACCCATGAGATATTTTAAAACGTCTTGTTCAATTTGGGGGCACTTGCTTGAGGGCTCTCCACACTCTCTGGGCTCTCTGGGCCCACCGGGCTCTTCTGGCTCCACTGGCTCCACTTTCACTCGCACCTGCACTTCACCATTCTCACCATTCGCAGTATCCAGAGCTGTAGATCTTTCTGATACTGTTTCCCCTGACAAGAGACCTTTTACGTGATCATATGTCTCAGTGCGCTGAGTCTCGGTGAGGAATTTAAGCTTCTTGTATTGTGGGTCCTGTACACTGCAGACCATGTTTGGAGACAGGTGCAACATGTCTGTGTCATTTAATAGGCGTTTTTGGAGACCTTCAGGGACGGTTGCCTTGAATGCCCTGACAATCCCGCTCTCTAGTTCTGAAGACTTGAGGTGATTGCCAACAAGACCATAGACCAATGGGTACACAGATCCACAACTTGGATACTCTTCGATACACAAAATTTCTGTGGCAGAGACCAGTGGCTTGAGAACAGGAAGCATCTGTTCGATCAACACCCAATGGTTGTCCTTCAGATTAAGATGCTTATGCTTGATGAAGAGAGCATCATTCATCACAGCATAAATATCTGATTTGATCAGGTGAAGGCGTTCAACCATGAAAAAGATGGAATTCCACCTGGTTTGAACATCCGATACTACACCTTTTGGGTTCTTGCCAAGTTTTTTCTGGTGTTCCTATAGGGTGTTTGTTGTGGAGATTGATTTGGAGAAAAATGCAACCAGCTTTCTTGAGTGAATAATGAGATTGTCGAGGACAGGAAGCGATAGCCCGGCATTCACAGCTAGTTGTAAAGTGTGAGCAAAGCACTTTACATGTTGCATTCCCGCGGTTCGACAAGCCAAGTCCATGTTGGCGACATTATCTGTCGTAATGCCAATAACTTCATGGATCTTGAATTCTTTGGTTAAATTGACCAAAGCATTGGCAATGTTAACGCCAGTATGTCGATCCTCTAAATCTCTAGTGGCCAACATGAAATTTGAAATTTGCCAATCATCTGTGATGTAATGTCCGGTAACAGTGATGTATCCTGTGCCACCTAGGCTTGTTCACATGTCAGTCGTGTTAAGTTTTAACAATAGTTCGGATTTAAAATCTGTGTACATGTTCATAATGTACTTTCGAATTGTCTTGTGTGATGGTGGAGTATAGCTTGGGTTTAAGGCTAAGCAAAAATTCTTCAGACCTTCCCCTTCAAAAAGACTAAGTGGATGCAAATCTCTGACACAGGCCATAGCTGCTTTCTCTGTGTAAGCTTTGTATGTTCCTTGCGAAATAGGTCTCCTAACATGACCTGAAAAGCCGAGTAAAACAAACTTAAAAAATTCGTGCACAAAAATAAGAAAAATATTTTGAGATTCCACATATTCAGGGAAAGAAACAAATTTGCCAATTTCAGGGTTTTTTTAATTTTAGATTTTTAATGTCATATTTTTTTCA